CGAAAGAGCAGGTCAAACCCACTTTCCGGAGATCACGGGACAGTTGGACTAAGGCAAAGACCACGTCCTGGTCTTCACTACGCCACATAAGCCCTAGCAGTCACCTAGGTTGGGCCTGGCAATCCAGCCCAACGCAAGTGACCGTTGGCCCAGCGCTGGGGTCTCTCTATAAATACCCTTATCCACAAGAGGGTCAGGTAATTCACTTATTACCTCATTTCTGTATTTGCTCTCACTCTTCCCAATTCCTTACTTTGGCATCAGAGTGTCTTGCAGGTACACCCCCCTTCTCCTCCTCATCACCGGTGAACAGGTAGCATTCCAACAGAGTGTGACCAGCTAGTGATCCCCTTCTGATCAGTTCAGATCAAAATACATTGCCACTAATCAATTAGAAGCTTACTTAAATGATTTAGAGGCATTATAAAAGAGTTAATTGATTAATCCTAGTGTGTTAATTGATTATCTAGTGCAAAAACACTCTTAAAGGTTTAACAAAGCTCAACACCATTTAGGTATGTGCATAAAACATTTTTAGGTGATTTTATAAAATAAGATAGGCTTTAAAAAAAATTGAGTATGTGAGAGAGTTGTCTTAGTATCTTAGGAGTTACTCTTTTGCATTTACAATATACTGATATGCACAGTAGGCATTTCCCCTAACACACCAAGTTGGTAAGGTAAAGATTTGGTCGAGAGTGAGGAACCACCCCTATCTCGCTTTTGATATCATCTAAAAAGAAACAAAAGACTAATGAACAAGTGTATCGTAGTTCAACATTCAATCAAATATCTCAGAGTTAGACCAATTACCAAAGAGTTTCTTCCTATTCTCAACAGAATTCGCATCCGCCATGTCCCGATAACTTATCAAATCCTTAAAAAATGAAATTAAAACCTCCTTCATATCTTTCTCGTCGGCAGTAAAAGATTTATATGAGACAGTAAAAGCCTACTTTCTCCTCAAAGTGGTTTGACGATCAAAACCTTCAGATGTTGTCCTTGTATGCAGCAGGTCTCGAAGAAAAAGTGGAGAAGTCGCAGAATTCTGAGTGAATGCGAGTAAATGGAAGTTGTCAGGAAGTTTAGAGATTTGAACTTCTTCCAACTCTCAATATATATAATGAAAAACTTGTCATTGCGATTCTGATGGAGGGAAACTAACTCATGGCCCTACCCCTTCTTTCGAAAGCGATCAGAGACACTTGAACACTCAACTTCTTAAAATTGCAATTATAAAAAAGAATAAAACACCCATCAAACTTACCACAAATCCTTTTATCTATAGGGATGGTGGAGATAAATCAATCAGAAGGTGGCCCCACCTCGAAAGAAGCCATCGCTACGAATACTTCCTAGATGTAGAAGGAAACTATTCCTAAGAACGCATGATCTACTCATGGATATTGATCAACACCAATCGACTTCAACAACTCCTCAAGGTGAATCACATTTGTCTCTGCATCATTAAATGAATCATTTTGACCAGAGGTTGTAGAGAAATTGGGAAAGGGAACACAAACCCTAAAATGCCTATGTGAAGGATCTTTCTCTAAAGGCTGAATAAAGGAACTAGCCTCATGCTCCACCATCTTAGATAGGGTGATACCTAAGTTAAATTCGACGCGAGCGAGAGAGGCAGTGCAAACGACAGTCTCCTTTGTCTAGAATCATCCTCATCATCCGAAGATTCCAACCTTGACCCAAACCTACCATGGGCGCATTTTATACAAAAATGGGAGAGTCATCTCGTAGAAAATATCCATGAGTTCTAAGTTCTCAAATTCATCAAGTGCAAGGGCCACGTTTACAGGTACATTCTCCAAATTGGCCACAATAATATGTAGAAGGAAGATGAAAACATGCCTTGCAAAGATAATATGTGGGGAAAGAATGACCTGCTACGATAAGATATTGAACGACTAAAGTTGTCGAAACAAAAGAATAAAATGGTGAGCTCAGGGAAGAGGAACAGGCTCCAAATGATAAACGAAGTAAAAGAGAAGTTTGAAAGAGCGGGTAAACCTTTAATAATGAAATAAACAACAAATCAATCATTCAAATCAAAAGTGGAGATAAAATCTAATGGTGATTATTAGATCTCTCGTTGGAAATATATGTAATTCAGACAAAACTCAAATGCCCTGGGTGGTGGGAAAACCATGCCCTAACCCGCAAGCCTAAAGTCACGTGCCCGAAAATTCAGCGAGACATTTTAATGATGGAAATTACATTTAATGTGCTTGTTCCTCACTACTTATGAAACTGCTTCATGTGTTTTTTGCTTCTTGTTGTGATCGGACGCGATAGCTAGATCCCTACCACGACTTTAGAAGACTTCCTGTCTAATAAACACTCAGATAGACTTGAAAGCAACTATTATGGACCGACCAAAGACCCAATACAATAGCCCAACCACACACAACCCATTTGAAATTATCAAACGTATATAGTCAGCACACATGAGATTTAAGGTTGTTTATTTTTTCTGATTTCCATTTTTCACTACACTTATCTTTGACTCTATAATTGATTTGGCCGTTAGTGTGTTAACTTTGTAAGTCCACTCCGCACAAAGTATTTTTTTAAAATATTTTTATAGACATCAAATTATATGTCAAATAATTTTTAAAAAAAATATCTAAACATTAAATTTTGATATAGTTATTCTCGAAACTTATTCATGTGAATCATAAAATATTCAAAAATTAAATTTTAGTATTTTTATTTCTGAATAATTTATTTATGTAAAACATTTATAAATTTTTAAGAGAAACATTTCTTTAATAAATTTAAAGTTAATCATTTTGTTTGATAATCGAAGGCATGACAAGTGATAACGGACACTTCAGGGACGGTTTTTATCTCCCTCAAATTCAAATTTGAATATCAAAATAATCTATGTTCCCAGCCCCAAATTTCATTGAAGATTGAAAATTAAAACCCAAATCCATCACAAACAGGTTCAAGTTGGATTCCGAGATCCCTCATCCGCCACCATCTATTTAATGAAAATATATTTTTTAATATATTTATTTTTCTAAAATAAAATAAAAATATCTAAAAAAATATAATGCATACATTTCAAATATTTTAAATAATAAATATAAATTAAAATATCAATATATTAACCACATATTTAATATTCTAAATTATAAAAACTAAAATCATAAAATAAATAATTAAATAAACGGTACGGAATTGGGACGATTTCGGGGTGAGTAATAGTATCTCATTACCCGACCCGTCTTTAAATTTTATAATCGAAAAAAACTTAAACTCAAACTCATATCTAATTAAAACAGATTTTTCTCGTCAAATTCGAGACGGATTCAATTTAATATCCGAAAATATAAGTTATGTTATCGCACCCTATTCCTATCTATAGGTTACAAGATTATTTAAAAATTTAAGAACTTCCGAGTTCCATCAGCCATAACTGCATCCAACTATGCGACACAACAGAAATTAGCATTTGACATTCGATAGACCCACTTATCATCAATCTGTTTTCTTTTTTTTCTTTCAAAAGATATCTCTTATTTTTAGATAATCGAATTTAGTGCATACCTACTTTTCTGACGTCAATTTTTTCCCCTTCACTCGTTTCTCTATCCAAAAACTCATACTTTCACACAATTATTATGCAACAACGACAAGCCATGGCCATAGCCTAGACTTACTCTCTAAAGAAACCATTCCTCGTGTCTCTCTCTCCCACTCTTTTAATTTTCTATCGTGATTTTTTTAGTGACCACAATTCATGATGAATAAATGTTTTATTGCATTCTATCATGACAATAGTATATTCCTTAGCTGGTGTTACTGCTCAATGTTGAGTGTGTTGGGTACATTTCAAAATAGATAGTTTTTATAGTATTCATTACCATTAGGCACATAGAACTCAAATCTTGAAAATGATAATATTCTATCTTACTTTTTTGTGAAAACTTACAATTCAAGAGCAAAACGAAAAAAGGAGGTAGATAACCCCACCACAATTAGTACCTGCTCTTCCCCATTTCCACACCTTCCCAAGTTGATGGTTTATCATATATGGTCCCATTACAACTCATAAAGGATTGGATTTATATTTCATAAATAATAAATGATTGAAGCTCTCATTTCTTGCTACGTAGCACTAGTAAAACGGTAATTGCAGGTTCCCATTGGAGATAGGAACGGCGGAATTCTTGTGAAGATGAGTTCCAAAATAAGTATCTTACTCTCACTCGGTGGGCCTCAAGTTCTTGCCTCATTAATTATTTGTTTAATTTCTTGTGTATTTTAGTCAAACAAGGAAAACAATTAAGAATAATTTTTTTACAAAAATTGCCACGACTCACTAGTGTGAAAGCTTTGTGCCAATTTAGTTCAAGTCACTCACTTGGATTTATTTGTCCAATTTCAACTTTTTTTCCATGAAAATTAATGAAATGAGATCAAATACAAACCCTTTTTTGGGAGCAGTTGAAGAGCATGACATTAGCCATAACAAAAGCAAGGATTTTAAAAACGGCCGCGGTTGCAAAATTTTGATCAATATAGATGTCGTGATATTGAAAATAGTAAATAATAGTGAAAGAAAATAGTGAATAATAGTATTTATATATGTACCTTCGGATACTATTTTATCATGGACATATTTTAAAATCTTGGCCATGAGCATCTCTCATTTTTTTTCTTCTTGTTTTTTATTGAATAATAGCATCTTCCTCAAAATCTAACTAAACTATTACAAGACAAAAAAAGAGAAAGAAGAAAGGGAATATCAACTTTCACCAACTCATTTCCAAGAAGGCTCCTTCCCCTTTTCTACTCAACCTCATTTTCAACTAGTCCTTAATCTAATCCATCTCATTTATTTCACATTTTCCTTCCAAGCCACTATTCCATTAGCTCTTCAAGTTCCACTCACAAAACATAAACACAAACACAAAACAAGAGTTGTAAACATCTCTTACAATTTCTTCATCTTCACAATTCTCTCACCTTCTCTTATGATCTCCACAAACCAAGACCCTCTTCCCACCCACACCCATTTCTCCATCATGCTCAAACTCCTCAACAAAAATCTCCGTCGCTTCCTCTCCCATCTCCGCTGTCCAATTCACCCTCGCTCAAAGTCCAAAGTAACAATCGTAATCGACAAATTAAGCAACCACGACCCGAAATCTCAAAACGAAACAAGCACAAATTTGTCATCATCAGTTCATCCAAAAACCCAACCGGGTATCCCAAAACCCGAGAAACGAATCCGGGTCGCCACTTTCAACGCTGCACTTTTCTCAATGGCACCAACTCTTCCCAAAACAACAACATTCGAAGACGAAAACGACGTCGCTTTAAAATACCTGAATCCTCGATCGAAATCAACAAACGACAGACCAAAAAGCATACTAAAACAAACTCAACCGCAATTCGGATCATCACACTCTCAACAACAAAACAACATAAAATCGAAAACAAGAGTTTCAATCAATTTACCCGACAACGAGATATCGTTATTGAGAAGTAGACAATCGAGTTTCTCCGAACACGAAAGGGCGTCAACGAGTAGTAATTGGGGAAGTGTTCGGAGTGGGAGGACGTTGGTGGAGGTGTTGAGAGAAGTGGATGCAGATGTATTGGGATTGCAAGATGTGAAAGCGGAAGAAGAGAATGGAATGAAGCCATTGTCGGATTTAGCGGCGGCTTTGGGCATGAATTATGTGTTTGCGGAAAGCTGGGCGCCGGAATATGGTAACGCGGTTTTGTCTAAATGGCCTATTAAGCGATGGAATGCTCACAAAATCTTTGATCATACGGATTTCAGGTTCTTACTCACTTTTCATTCACTTCTTAACTAACTTTAATCACTTTTTTTTAACTACTTTTTAGTGCTCATAAATGTTATTTTCCCTTTCTTTTACAATGGTAAAACTACTATTAAGGAAAAACTTTTAAATATGAAATTTAGTCATTAGATTATTTATAAAAATTATCATTAAAAAGTCCGATTATTCATCTCAGTTGATAGCTTTATAAACATATAATTTAGTTTTTTTTAGTTGCCTTTGGTTCTCATATAATCCATTTAGTTACGAGAGAAAATCTGTTTGCTTTTGTGGAAGCTTCTCCGTGCTTGACCAACCTATTGCATGAGAAAGAGAAAATAATTAATTGCTTTTCTGGTCATAAAGTCGCCAATTATTCCAAAACTTTTTCTATATAAAAATAACTTTTGAACTAACACATTGAATTTATTTTTTTAACTAGTCGGAACAAATGATTAAGTTATGACGTCCTCCATGTTGTTCCATACATAGCTTTACTCAAAAGTGCAAAAATATTACATCAAGGAAAATCCTGCAACTACTACGCATATATTTTTGCACTTTACTTGTTTTGTTCTACATGCCATTGCCAATGTGCCAACTCTAATAATAGCTGTACACTGCAAAACGATTCATCCCACCTACTCAGACTACTATTATAAAAAAAATATTCTCTTTTTAAATTTATTGAATAACCGACGTATTTGATTTATATATATATATATATATATATATATATATATATATATATATATATATATATATATATATATATATATATATATATATATAGAATAACCGACGTATCTGATTTATATATATATATATATATATATATATATATATATATATATATATATATATATGTCATTCTTTATAATAGTGACAAGAGAAGAAGTACTTTGCTTATGTTTAAAATAACTAAATTGAGAATAAGTTTCTTACTTTACTCCAAAGGTATATCTTGCTAATGAACACTCATTAGAAAACTACAGAAATATTAATTGAGATCCATCTTGTGAAATCAACAAGCTAGAAACAATTGAACAAACTTAGTATTCAAATTGTGGGACATAGAGAATATGATTGATCAGCAACCTGTGTGAATGTGACATGAAAAAATTGTTATTTTTTGGTCTAGGAATGTTTTGAAGGCAACTATAGATGTACCTGAAGCAGGTGAACTAAACTTTTACTGCACTCACCTCGATCATCTCGACGAGAATTGGCGGATGAAGCAGATAAACGCAATAATCCAAACAAATGACGAGCCTCACATCTTAGCTGGAGGACTTAATTCACTCGACGAATCCGATTACTCGCAAGAAAGATGGACAGATATTGTAAAGGTATATATATATATATGTATCCAATAGATTTTCGATTCATTTGTTGCCATTTTTTACTCTATGGTCTTAAAGATAACAAAAATAGAAATTAAATTTCTGTGTTGGTTTCTTTGTGTTAGTACTATGAAGAGATGGGAAAGCCAACACCAAAGGTTGAAGTGATGAAACATCTCAAGAGTAAAGACTACACAGATTCTAAAGATTATGCAGGGGAATATGAATCAGTTGTAATGATTGCCAAAGGACAAAGTACGCATACAATTATGAAACTTCATAATCTATTAACATAATAATTAAGTTCAACTTTGTTATTATCATACTACTTTTTTTTTCCTAAAATCTTAAATATTATGCAGGTGTGCAAGGGACATGCAAGTACGGAACTCGGGTAGATTACATATTATCATCATCGAATTCGCCGTATAAGTTTGTTCCTGGTTCCTATTTAGTCCTTTCTTCCAAAGGGACATCAGATCATCACATAGTGAAAGTTGATGTGATGATCAAGGTAAATAACAATTCTCAAGAAAACGTGACAAAGAAACCGCAACAACATAGACAGAAAATTGTAAGAATAACACATTCGACTCCGTCAAAAGGTATTTGGAAAACACACGACGGAGAAGTATACTGAGTTGTTTGTTCCTCCTCAGTTTAGATAAGTGTGATTGTTTTGTTTCTGCTTCCTAATCTTATGTTATACAACATTCTTCAAATTGAATTAGAAGAATATAAAAGGAAAGAGTGAGTGGAATGTGTAACACTTTTTCTTTTTTTTAATTTGTATAGTTTGAGTTTTGATTAACTAATTCCAAAATCTACAGAGTGATTTGCTTCACCTTTTTCGACAATGTCCACAAAATTCATATTAAAATATTCTTTGACAATGAGCCACCATATGTGATGTTATATAGGTTTTAGTCTCCTGATTGTATCAAGGGGATGTCAGTCCCAAGTTCTCTGGTGTTTTGCAGTTGATATGTTATTGTGTATGCAGAGAGATCGCAACCACATAGGTACCTCCTACAAAGCACTCCAATGTATTTGCTTTTATGTGTGGAAACGTCTTTGTATATATAGATTCAGTGAGTAATAAACAATTATTTTAGGCCAAGCTTCTCCATTATCTGTCATGATGAAGAAAGAAAAGGGGAGAGAGGTGTACGTATTTTGTATGTGGAAGAAGGATTATTTTTCTATGAAGCATGATGTCTAACACACATCAGAGACACGAACAGACAGATAGATGTGCAAGATGCGTGTCCAATAATGCCCGACCTGTGGTAAAGCAAACAAAAAATTTTAATTTTTAGGACACTTGTCTAAGGTGTCCACGTGTTGTGGGAGTTTTATTTGCAGAAGTGACGGGAGGAATTTCAGTGTTTCAGAGTAGTTTGTGATATTTTCATTGGGCCTGAAGAGTGGTAGCTCGTAGCCTAAGCATTCAAAGAAGTTGTGAAAGATCATTGGGAGAATTGGGAAAGAGCAACCTTGGATCGCCTGACCGTGGCTTGGGTCGTCAACACTTTAAACTGGATAACCCTTATAATGAACTATTTGACAATAAAGGAACTTTCTTCAAACAAGGCCCAAGTGAAAAAGATCAGAAGATTGGTTGTAAAGTAAACCATGGTAGGAAGAAAGTTATACAGGATGGGAAGTTTTTCCCCATGTTGAGCTTCTTAGACGAGGATTAAATTTCCTTAGTTCTCACATAGGTCCACGAAGGGGTCTATGGAAGCCACATTAAAGAGCGAGTGCTCGCTCATAAGCTACTAAGAGCCAATTACTATTGGTCGGACCTGATGAGGAATAATGTAGAGTTTGCTAGAAAATGTGACCAAAATTTTCCACTACCTCACATCTCCCTAGACGTTTATTAGTGGGGTGTGTATATGTTGGATCCTTCCCTTTAGGTCCATGAAAAGTGAAGTTCTTGATCATAGGGGTGGACTACATCATAAAGTAGATATAAGCTGAATTCGTTTCCAAAATCATAGTAGAGAGACAGAGTACTATGTTTCTTTTGAAAACGTCTCATTTGGAGGTTTGGTTTGTCAAGGAGCATTGTCTCAGATAAATGAACTCAATTCTCCATCTCAACTATGGTGGGATTCTTCCACCAACTAGGAGTTCAAACAATGTCCGTCTTAGTTATCCAACCATAGGTGAATGTGCATGTTGAATTGGCCAACAAGGTGATCTTATGCAACATAAGAAAATCTAGATGATGTCGATGGTATATGGGCCGAATAGATGCATGAGGTTATGTGGTCATGTCATACAACACCACACAGAACCACTAAAGAAATGTCATTCAAAGTGGTTTACAACGCATAAACTATGTTACTATTGAGATCACTTTCGATCTGGGCGAGCTTCTCAATAACTTTTTGGGTGTTCTCGTCTTTCTTATTTTAATAATATTTTATCTTATTTAAAGAGCGCACCGTCTCATCTTGCTCATCATATGTGGAATTTAGTGGTTCTTCGACCTTAATAAATGTATCATTTATTCTTTTGAGTTTAGCCTTCAACTCCACGACAGTACTATTTGCCTAGCTATGGGCCTCATGCTTTTGGAATTCCAACATTATAACCCTTAGTATATGGGTATCCATCAACAATATTTTGATCAATAGGGAATTAAGAAACAAAGTTGAAGTGTTCTCCCATGTAACTTTTATCATCAAAATTTTCATTCTAAAGGGAAGGCACCACCTTTACCTTTGGAAAAAGCCCAAAGAGGTCTAACCTTATGGTTGATCTTTCATAGATCTCGCCACCATCGTTTTCTAGGATAATGGTATCATAAGGATAAACACATTTGTTTTTTTGCTCAGGGAGGAGGAGTAAATTGTGTCAACTTCTCATGATTTGAGTCTTGATAGTTTGGAGAGAAAGAATAGTCTTCCCCAAAATGTGCCTCTTCTTACCCTTGATTAAAAGGTTGTGTAAATGGATTTTAGAATCATTTAACCAACTTTCTCCTTGCCCAACCTTCTTTGTATGGAGAGATTTCCACTTAAAAATATTTATGAGAGTCGTCTTCTTAGAAAGAAGAAAATATAATGAATATTAGACAAAATAAATAGCATGATCACGATACACCTAAATAAAACCAAAAATACGCAAGTACTAATCAATTCTCTTCTCCTAATCATTGTGACAGTTAGGTTCCACCATTTTTAGAGAACTCATAATTGAAAATGTTTCCAAAACCTTAACAAATTCTCTCTTTGAGGCAGTAAAATAATCATAACTGAAGCCGCTTATGACCAATGGATCACCAGTCTAGTATAGAGGGAAGCGATAATCCCCCTATTCCCTAAATATTACTGAAGGCTCTAAGATTTGACCAAATTTTGGTAAAACATGATGTTGCACAATAGGTTATAACATGAAGAAATCTATAAAGAACAACATGTCAGGCAAGATGTCCTATCTTGAGGACTTGACTGACATCTTAGTTTGATGCAGCAGGTTTGTTGCAGATCTGTTCTAAGTTTTAAGGGCAATCAGGACCTAGATCAAGGAAAGATTGGACAGAGACTTTGAAGCCCATGGATTGCTGAAGATTATAAAAGGAAGACCAAGACCTAGACCAAATAAGAATTCCTTTTTAAGACTTTTTTATAGTAAAATAAGGTTTTAGGGTTTTGAGAGTCGTGTGGCTTTCTTGTATTGTAAGTTACCTTTTGTATCAGGTTTGATACATTGTGGTAGACATAGTTTTCATATTTAAAAATTTGTAGGTAATGAAATGTATATTGTTCTTAGATGAAGCTATTAATCAAATTCAAGCATTATTGTTAGTCAAGAGCCTTGACTTAATGTTGTATTGAGAGAAGTGCCTTTCAATTCAAAAGTTTGATACAGTCACCGAAGGTTGTGACTGCTAGATATCACTGAGGTGATTTAAGAATTAAGATGGGTTTCTCTTATCTAGATGGTGATTTCTAGGTAGAAGTTGCACTGGGTATGGATTAAGTGAGGATTTGTAAACCGAAGGCTGTTTAGCTCTGAATTAATACTATTCATAGTGAATTCATTCTTGGCTTGGTAGCCCCCAAATGTAGGTGTTGTTGTACACCAAACCGGGTCATCATATCTTGGCGTTATTTATCATTCTATTATGAATATTTCAGTACTGTCTCTTGCTTTAAAATACATGTTTTAATATATGTTGAAACATATATCATTACATTGTTATGTTTTTGACATAACAGTTTGTTCTGGTCTATTATGTTATGTCTTTGTTTAGCTATGCAGAAATCAATGCCTCAACATCTCTTAAGACATCTGAGATCTGTATACTAGAATTTTAATTGGTATCAGAGCAGACATTCTGTTCTATTTCTGGATGAGTTCTAGGGAAGTAACTTTTTGGTCTTTCGAATAAGGAAGGAGATTGTGTGATCAGATCATCCATTACTGTTGTGTTCAAGGGTATTAGAATCTAGGAGGATAGTTTTCTGAATTTGGCCTGACAACTACTGATGGTTGACTGATACCTCTGTGTAGATTTTTTCGCTGTTGCTGATAATGATGCTATTGTTACGTGTGGTGCCTTTAAAATATTCTGACATCTGTCCTGGCTTGTTGAAGATGGGGTCAGCCTTTCCAGATGCTCATGAAATTGCTAGCTGGTAGTTATGTAAAGGAGCAAGCATTGTGATATATTTTTCTCTAAAGGATGTTCCTTTGTTGCTTGGAAGACGGGTCAAACAGGTACCGTGAAGGGTAATAGGAGGAAAAGGTTGAGTTGATGACCTGTTTATCAAATTCATGATCTATGGATTTGGTAAACACTCTATGTTTAAGATACTTGATTTCTCTCTCAAGTCCACTCATAAAGGCACTGCTGAATGTATTCAAAAGAGAAGATGGTCTTCTATGAAAAATTTATGCTTTGAAAAATTCCTTTATAAATTGTTGCTAGAGTAAGGAGTGGTGTCTTATGACATTTTGTGACTGAAGAATACAAAATTGGGATTTAAAATCAATTTATATTTGTGGCTTTAACAAGTATTTAACTGATTATCCTTTTGATTGGTAAGGTAAAAAATGTGACTCCTAAAGGTGCAGCTTCAGACAATTACACAAACTTCAGAACCTATCTCAATTACCTATTCATGGAAAAAGGAACTGATGATCAACCAGATGTTGAAACATCACTTCAGAAGAGTGTGTGCAGAACCTTGTCGATCCAAGGAGTGAACTTCTCGGACAAAGAAGAAATACAACATATGTTCTTGATGATAAACAAATGTGTGTTTATCAATAGTGGTGAGAATCTTCTTCAGATTGGCCCTAAAGAGTCATTTGGTTTGCAGCCTAGGAAGCCTCTACCCAAGAAACTTGTTATGGATAGGTGTTCTGGTGGAAGTCTAGATTAACTCATGTTCATCTTGATGAACATTCATTGGGTCAGTTTATATGGAAGTCAAAGAAAATTTATAGGACATTCACTCTAACATCTTGGAGACTTCTCTGGTCTTTTAAAGCTGGATTAGTGTGATCTTACAGATAGTGTGCCTATCTTGTGACTACCTCTTCTAATATGAGGTGTGGACTCTAATCAGATGTTGAGTCTCTTGGAGAATTGCGCTTGAAGCAGACTGTCACCATGTC